ATCTTAAGGAACTTATTTCCCCACTTGAATTTAGCACCCAGGCTCTCAGTGGTTTCAGTAAAACCACTAATAGAAGAAACAGGATGAAGCCTTTCTTTAGCTACTCCCATACCCCTAAGTGACACTACAATCATTAATACGATACTGACCACACTCAGTGCTTCCAGAGTTTTAGCTGTGAACCAGCAAGTACAGATGTACCACCTTTCCTCTTTGGTTACAGAGCAAGGCAACATCTCAAAGAAAATAGCACGCATGCTGCAGGCACTTAAAGGTAGTAGAACAGGATATGGTCACTAACCAAGCAGATGCAGTGTTACTGAGCAAAGTCATTAGGTATGTGAACTCAGTGCAGTTTACAGCAGACTAACCAAAACAGAAGCATAAAAAGCCTGTGCAAACTGCTTTAAAAAACAGAATCCTTCCAGCACCAGAGATACTGTCCTTGCATTCTCTCTGCCTATCCAAGTCATTTTACATTTATTAAATATTTTAAAGAAACAGGAAATCGTGATTATCCAGAAATTCTCTACCACCTTCCTAAACAAACTGATCTTGTGAGCACAGAATCAAAAAAACAAAGAAAGAAGCAAACAAACAACTACAAAAAACACCAGTAAGGCATTTTTTTTGCTTACACTATGTGAGCATCTGTGTCTTTGCATTTGAGCATGAACATGGGGAAGAGGGGATGACCTCCTTTAAAGCTCTTTCTATCACTCCACATTGTAGAGTGATGCTGACAATCTTTTCCCCTCTGTTGTGCTAATATTTGTTCCCTGCTACTAAAGCTAAGGAGATGGCACAAGTACTTCTAGGCAAACCTTTAAACAAATGGAGATCTTAGATGGATGGAACTTGTGTAACTCCTTACAGTTGGGAAGATCGTGGCTTCACCATTTGAACAATAAAAATGCCAGAGCAATACTGAGGAGAAATATCAACTTCAAGGTAGTTGTCAGTAGTGCAAGAGGCATCCATAAGGCATCCTCACTGACCTCTCAATCCAAGCCAAGCCAAGGTGTTTTCCCACTCCCATTCACTCTTACCTATGTCACCACAAGATGAATTGTGCTTTAGCAATCCTTTCTGTGTGATAGGCTTTCACAGCCAAAATATGAGGGTTGGATATGTTGGTTGTTTATCAGTTTTTTTAGATAGTAGAGCAAGAAACGAATTAATGTAATAATTCCAAATTAATAGAAGAGATAAGGCTACAAACAGGGTTTAAAATTGATTATTTTGGAATATGTATCTGTCAATTTAAATTGACAGCTGCACAGCCATTTAAAGTATATTTCTGAGCCTCATGCATTACCCATTTTGACGCAGGGAAAAAGAAATGAAATGAATGCATATAAATGAAACTGTAAGAAATACACAGAAAAGAGAAGGATGGCAACAGACACCTATCCTAGAGGACATCTAAAGAAAACATGAGGGCAAAGTTAGGGAGATACACTGACTTAGTAGGAAAATCCTGAGCTGTTGCTTTAAGTGGTGTGCACAGAGATCTGCCGTTTGCTTTATGCCAGCTCTTCTTGTTTCTAGCAAGAAAGTTCAGATTGAAAGAAGCTAAAAAAAACACATTAAACACTTTCCAGATATTATTCTCTCACACAAACAACTGGTATGAGGTGCCATAGAGACATTCTCTTGCCAGCAAGAAGGGAAATAGTACACACTGGCAATAGAGGATATATTTTATGAAATCTGCCACCTTTGACAAGACAGTCCAAAATATGGCAAAGTTTTAAAAAAGCATTATTTAGGTAGGATTTCTGACAATTCCTATATTCCAGCAATGTAATACATGAAAATGATACCTAAGGATGAAGTTCTTATCACCTTTGAGAAAAGGTTTACTCTATCACTCTGAGGTATGAGATGTACAACATTTTAGCAATCAAGCTGTGGTATCTCAGTGAAGAGGAGAAAAAGAGAAGAGTGCAATATCTCTACAATTTAGCTATACTGTCTCCTGACAATCTAAAATGCGACGCTGCAGATTTAATACATAAATGTACCTGCTTAGCATTCTTGACTTTCCTTTACTGTAAATTAAGCTCTATACAAAAGTAAGGGGGGGGGGGGGAAAGGGGGGGGGAAGCACATAGTAGAAAACATCCTGTTCTTTCTGTAAAATGTGAAGAATAACTGACTCTTTTATGACATGCCTTCCTCCGAAAATAGCAATGATTACACCACTCGACTCCCACACAGCCCCCAACCCGACTTTTTGACACATAGCACATTATATGTTCTCAATCCCAGAGGATGATCCAAAGTTTGACGATAGGATGCCCTTCATTGCCCAGAATACAAACTGCAGAATACAAAAAACAGAACCTAGGAAAGCAGGCAACCCTGACATTTTATGACATTAATTCCTCTTTTAGAGCCCAACGTGACAAATATATTCTTTTTTTCCCCACCCTCTTAGGAACTCCAAAATCCACAGCTCTCCACGTTTTGGAAAGATGCTGCAAGTCAAAGCAAAGATAATCTGCCAACTACAAAGCACATGTGTGAGCAAGATTTTTTTTTTTTTTTTGGTCTTTCAGGCAAACAAGATTATATAGCCTATTCTCTTTGTGGGGGATGAGGAGGGGGAAGTGTTAACATTGCAGCTGCTGCAGAAGTGGAAGCTGTAACTCCCTGGGAGCTTGTATTGACTTTGTAGCCAACCATGCCATTAAGAGACGCTTCTGTATTACAGAAACTGCTCCATTTGCTTTTTATTTCCAGAAAGAGAAAAACTTGAAATTCTGACTTGCTGCAGTCAACTGAAAGTCTTACAGCATATCTTGCAACATTTCATACAAGTTCCAATTCAGCTCAATATCCTGTCTATTGAACATCGTATTCCTGAATAATAGTTTTCCTTCACATCTGGTGACATTTAATTCTGAGCTTTATCACATTGCTATTGCCCAATTATTTATTTTATACACACAACTTCCTATTAAATGAAAGAGGACATATAGCAAAGGTAGGCTGGAATCACAACCATTTTAAGTAGCTTTCATTTGTAAGGAGCTTATCTTTATGAAATATGATTTAATAGAAAATAACTCCTCTTATAATGATGACCTAAATTTTACTAAAACCAAGAAGGTGTGTATCAGTATTTTAGGGTAAGATATACACTGTCACAGTTCGGCTTTCTACATATGTTGAAGAACCACATCTGGCTGATGTATTTATTTTGTAATGTTTAACTATAATAGAAAATAGATGAAGTTCAAATGAAAACACTATTTAGACTATGCCAACAGAGCATAAAGCTAAATGAAGTGATTTTGTATTGACTGTAAAACATATTTGCTAATAGTAAAGTTACCAAAGGTCACAACATGAAATAATGAAATAATTATTTATCTTAAGAACTGTGTCAAAGCAGATGCACAAAGAAAAATGCAATTTTTTGATTTTCCAAAACATCACACAGCACATTTTATTGATATTTTATCATTAGTGTAAATAATTCAAAACCAAGCCAGACAACCAAACAGAAAACCAAACAGGAAATCTCCAGCTCACTCTTTTTAATCGCAAGTCACAAAAGGGCTTTTCACTATGACAGCCAACTCACTTTACATTTGCTAGCAAAAGAAAAGCAAACAACAGTATCTTGTGCATTGAAACGACTGCTTTGTTATAAAGGGAAGGATTCAGAAAAAAAAAGAAATGATGCTGCTGTAAATACTGTACATCTTGTAGACTCAGTTCAAAGTCTTACGCATTCTTCTACAACAGACTGAAGTTTCACATTCATCTCAACAAATCAATCCACTAATAGGCATCAGTCATCAACACCTAAGTAAAGATCTGCCATTTGAAACAGCTTTGATATGATTGAAGACTCACACATGGTCGTAAGTATGACAGAATAGCTTAGCTATTAAAATGTTTTATCTAGCAAGGAACTGTTCATCCCAATTGACTGAAATACTCTTTGAATGCTTTTATTGCAAGGCTACTTCACTACGCCATACTTTAATACATAGCCACTGGACTTACATCTTCAGACACAGCACAACCACATCATCGCTTATTCAGATTCTTCCTCACATATGCTTTTGTCAACAGACCAAAACAATATGGCTGACTGCCATTTACCACCAGTTGCTTAGCTAATTCAATACCAAAATGTACTGGGATTCATTGTCAAAGCTGCATGTCATCTCTCCATCTTTTCTTATAGTACACCAAGAGGACAACCACACCTGCTGGAATCAGTGGGCAAGACTGGATGGATCTGCCCCCTCCCACCTTACACCCACTGCTAGAGACACCACCACAGGGCTGACCATGTCAAGCCAACTAAAAAGAAACCCAAGATGGCCATCTGTAAGCAACAGCACTGTGCCTGGCCGCGAGGCAACAAGGTTTTCTAGGCCTCCCTCATAAGTCATTTCAAAGAAGGTTTTAAGCACACCGTAAGTCAGAGTACCTGACAGAACAAAACAAAAACAAAAAAAAAACAACAAGCAAGCACAGAATAAGGATATATGATGACGGCCTCTATTTCAGCACATTTCCACTGCATATCATAATGGATCACCAGAAACTCCCTTGGAAGATTAATAATAGTTTGTGCATGTAACATTTTTCCTTCTCCATTATATTCACAACATGTTAACAATTTGCAAGAAAAAGAAATCAAACATACCAGTAACTGCTGCCAAGATTACATCTTACAGAATCAAACAGAATGCTGTTGATTTAATGCCTCAAATGAAAGACAATTCAATTTTTACCCTGGATCTATTAACATGTTGTATATTTCATCAGCTTTTACCATCACTTCTGTTACCAGGAAGTGCATCATATCAACTCTACATATATAGGCAAACATGTCATCTCTTATCTTCTATTCAAGAACTGCCAATTAGCACAAAGCAATAGCTAAGTTTACCACAGTCCTCTATACAATTTTCATGATTCCATATTTTCCATTTCCATATTCTAAAATAATAAAATCCATGTGATCTTACCTACAGTTTGGAGGAGGGTCTAATGTAATTTCTGCAAGTTCTTTCTGAATCCTTAAGAGAAAAAAAAATATATATATATTATCAGGACTTACTTTTGCAAAATATTTCTTTCAACTTTATGAACATTTCTACAGCAGTCAAATATGATAAAATATAGTTCTTGACATTGCTAATAGAAAGCTGATGCTAAAGGAGTTCATGAAACTGCCAAAGATCAAAATGCTAGAAATCAAAACTTAAAAAAAAAAAAAAACAAAAAAACGTGAGCATCTAAGTCTTGGACTAACTGTTCCATGTACAGATGCCTAGAAAATCCTGCTTTTCCTGTAGGTCAGTGTGCTCAGCTCCTTTGCTCAATAACACAAGTTAAATGCTTCATATGCCTCTATTTACTCCCTACCTATCTGCCTCTCAGCCTAGGTCCCACTAGCCCTGCGCCCCCTAGTTTGTTGTCATCTGAACACCTGCACAGTTCCCTACCATGTGCTTCAGGCCACTGATAAAGGCCTGCTTGCAGCATGTACCCAGCAGCTGCCTCTTAGTTACCAGCACCCTATGGAGCTACTCCTCTAGGCCCTACAATATTGTTGTTAAGGATTTGGATGCTCTTCAGGCCTGTGCTACCATGCCTAGCACTTGGATTCTTGTTCTGCTTCATATCTAGCAGTATGTAGATAGTCCATGCTAGTGTTTGCATGGCAGTGAGCATTTTCACCTACAGAAAAGACCAAGTGTGAAGGATAGGAGCTCACAGAACCTCCGCATTAATTTGTAGGAGCTTACAGTTACCAAGCCATATACAGAAGTGCAATTGTCATCTTAAACTATATCCCAAAGCCTTTTTATAGGCTATTTCAGGGCAAAAACATAAGTGTTTAGAAAGAGGAAGGAAAAGAAAGTGTACCCTCAATATTTTCTTCTCTCTTCCTCCTGCACAAGGTCTCAGATAGTACAGATGCAGATAACACTTTATTTTACGGCCATACTAAGAAAGAAAAACTGCACAATAGCACGACTCAAGTTCCTTGCATAAGTGCTCAAGCCACATCCTAAGATCTCAGATCTGATGTGAAGTGCATACACATCCAGTTCAAAATGACTGCCACCCTTTTTGAACATAATATTGGACAAAAAAAAAAGAAGTGGTATATGTGTATAATCAACAAATATTAAGATGTTATAATTATAAAATAAACAAGAGAGTTTGGCAAAGCAGACTACGATAACAAAAAGAAAATAGATAGAAAGCTTACCCCTAACCTGGGCTCACTTACAAAACTCCAACAGAGCAGATCTCCAGAAGAGATCCTTCCCCACTGGTAGCCAGCTCTTAAATAGGTCTAGGAGGGCTGGAGCCTGGCTCCACCACTTCCGGCAGCACAGGAGAATTGCCTTCACCTGTGCTCCTCTGGTGACTCATGGCTCGCCTCAGGTGATCAATCAGAGGTTCAGGCCATGACTCAGCAGTTCCCGTACATATATCCAAATAAACACTTATACAGCAAAAAGAAATGACCAGTTTACACTAATTCTCTATAATTTCAAGATCTAAATACAATCTTACATGCTAAGGAGTCTCACAGACACCTTTAAAGTTCCCATTATGCCAGTATGAGTTAGCTTTATGGCTGTAAAGAATCAACAAACCAAAGACTGTAGAGGAAACTGATGTAAACCAGAAACTCCAACTCTTTAGCAATTAAATTCTAAAATAATTAGGACATACATCAGTAAGATTTGTTAATAAAGAATATTACTTCTATCCTCTAATGCAGTTGAAAAGAAAAAGTAGTGTTTTCAGACTCCCCAACTTCTCTTCCAACCTCTGTCCACTCCACCCCTACATATAGACATCAGTTATTCCTGTAGACAGGAATAAATTGAATGTTTATTTGCTTATATTTACATCTCCAGGAAGTAGAATTTCCCCAGTAAGCATCATTTCTTTCTTGTAAAAATACAAACACAGACTGCTTAATCAATATTTGCAGAAACTCATGGTAACACTGCAAGCCCAACACATTTTTTAAAAGGAAAAAATCTGATTAGTGAAGTCCAAGTACACCAAACACTGTTTAAAAAATTTGCTGTATTTAAACTACCCTGACTATTTGCATCTTTCAAAAGGGAGGAGATCTTAGAATCATAGAATCACCAAGGTTGGAAAAGGCCTCCAAGATCATCCAGCCTAACTGCCCACCTACCACCAATATTTCCTCACCTTACATCAGTGGGAAATGCTTAAAATATTTCTTCTGTCTATGGCAAAGTTTCGTCATGTTTTCAAAATTTACTGTATCACTATTCCAAAGCACAGAAAATGTAAGTAGCATGAAATCTCCACTAATTTCATGTTTTATAGGTTTATTTGCTTTTTCTACAAACTGCTTCTAAATTCTGGTAGATTAGAAAATCATGGCATTAAACTTCTGGAGTCAGAGGTTATTCCTTTGCTGTACATATGAAAATAGGAGCAGTTAATACTTCACTGCATTATGATGTGTCCTTGAGACACCAAGAATGGGCTTGCAAATATAGCCTAAGACCTAGATCAGAAACCTTCCATTTGTCCTCCTAAATCTGAATCCATTCACTTCCATTCTGAAAACAGATGGGTAGAGTCTCCTTTCTTTTTCTTCTTCTGTTCTGGTTTAATAAAATTAAATACATTTCAATTTCAAATGCCAACAGCACTGGAATGGTCTAAGATTGAGCTTTTCCTGCGATTCAGGAAGCAAGAACAAAACACTTTGCTGTTTCAAGCAATAAGAATTGATCAGATGATACTTCATGTTCAAAAGTCCTAATTGCTTTAGAAAGTATCTAAGATAAGGAGACGTTTTACTTGCGCGCGCGCCCCCCCCCCCCCCCCCCAAAAAAAAAAAGCTGCAACATTAACACCACACTCAGCAAACTGTTCATGCCTACTCTCCTGCTACTACTCAAAACAATGTATACACCTTATATCTCTTTTGTTGTAACTTTAATTTACCTTGCATTCCTGCTGGGAGCACATTCATAAACAGTCTCTTTACAGCAGCTGACATGCAATAGCTTGCTCACATGTCACGGCATTCAAAGTTACAATTAAATCATCAGATAACATCCCAGAGAGCCTTGCTCTGATAGAGACCTCCAACACTCAAGCTAGCCTTTGTCTGCATGAGTTATTCCACTGCTCTGGCACTCACTCCAAATCTCTATTGAGTTGCCTTCAGAATCTGGCACAAGAGAAGATGTGCCTCATTTCCTTCACTGACCACAGAGGATTCACCACGAGCCTATGCGGTCTCTGGCAAAAAAAAAAAAAAAAAATAATAAAAAAACACCCACATATTTTTGCAAGTCCTCTCTGGCACTTCTTTGGATTTTCTGGCTCAGTGCAGTTATGTTATTGTAAAGGAAAAAGGATTCTATATTAAAATTATTAAATATACGATGTGTGTGTATATGTAAACTAATGACATACTCACTGGTTTACAACATATTGAGAGTAGGGGGTAGAAGTCTCTCTAGTAATCAAAGCTCTGAGCAGCACATGTAGGACATTTAACCTGCAACATCAGATCTGCTGTTCTTTGTTTGATCTTAAAAGACATCGCCTGACCTCTGTTTGTCTGTCTCCCTCTCTCCCTATATCTATATAAAAATATAAAATTACTATTACCATGTTTTCCCTCCATTTTACTAATGGGAAAGAACAAACGTACTTGCCTTCAAGTAATAGTGCAAAGGTTAATCTTCCCCTAACTTCAGAAGCACAAGAGTACATTGTGGATTTCAAATATTATTAATTCTCACAGACATATATTTACTGGTGTTCCAAGCCTAGGGGGACTGTTTGTTGTTTCCTTCATGAAACAGTTAAAGTTTGCTAAAGCTAAGGGACAACTGAATACATTAGAAGATTTCTCAATGGGATTAAAAGAAAAAGAAGCAAAAAAGGACTATCTGACAATAACCTACTTTACCACATCTGTTTTTCTATAACACATGCCTCTTAACTCATGGAAATGACATGAACCAATACACCATAGTGAAGTATAGGTTATCTAGGAAATACTAAGAATCACTGGTATAAATTTCAATCTTACAGAAACTGTGACTGCACAGGAAATTCATCCAAAGAAAGTTAAATTCCTGCTCAAAGAAGAAAAATATTCAATCATCATATTAGATGCACGTGTACAAAGCATCTTTCTTGTAAGAAAGAACAATCCATTTTTCTACCATGGTCAGCAGACTGCTTGGAAATAGCACTATGATAAACAATCCTGAGGAAAAAAAAAAAAAAAAAATTAAAAAAAAAAAAGAAAAAAAGAAGTTCATTTTAGTTTGTTTTCTAACAAATGTAACCTATTAATTTATAAATATTTCTTTTTTTAATTTAAAAAAAAAAAAAAAAAAAAAAGGAAAACCTACAACTGAGATTTTAAAGTTCACAATTCATTGCAAGCACAGATATTTATAAAAAGAAATCCTGGACTGGACACTTAGGTTGACAGATTTTCAACTATCAGCTTCAGGAGCAAAACAATACATTTATTTGTCGAGCTACTGTGTCAGCCAAGAATAGTTACACTTTTCTCAATTCAAAGGTCAGGCTAAGATTTGCTGCTTGAGAGGTAACAAGATGCCTGCTGTTTTCAAGGACAGCAATTCAATTCCATGTCTGAACTGTAATTGTGATATGCAGCGAGTTTCTCAATCTTGACATGTTAGGTAAGAAAGGTTGCTATTTAGGGTGATGCCCTCTGGGTGAGGAAAATTGAAGGACCGGAAACTGTACGACATATGCTGTAAGCTATTACACCTGCATCGCAGCTAACCTTAAAAGTACTAGCAGAGAAGGACTGCACATGGAGGCGTTCTGCCTTCTTGATGCCACCCATAGCGAAGCTAACATAAGAAAAACAAAATCACTGCCACTTAAATACACATTCAAGCAGTCCCACATATCCTTCATAACAAAACCATTTTGAAAAGCATTAAATTGCTAAAGCAGCACACTCCTGCATAAGGCATGATAGCAGGGTGTTTACACAAGTGAAAAAGAGCTCTGCTAAATCTTGATTTATATGAAGTCAATACTACTGAAAACTCTTAATAAGTAGACCTAATTGCCTAATTCTTTTAACCACACAGTGAAAAAGTAGAACAGAATCATGCCAACTACAAATGAACAAATTCTTAATTCTAACCCAGGTAGCAGAAAGTAATTCAAAAATACTGTGATTACATTTCTGTACACAAGAAAGGTCCCTTCAGGTGTAAAAATGTGGCTTCCAAATTCAGGTTAGAATGAAGCCCATAGCCTGTGAATTAGACCAGGGAATGATTTAATTCCAGTGCTATATTTACTTGCTAGCATTCTCTGTTCTAAACAGAAGTTGAGGCTTTGGTCAAAATTCCTTCGTTATTGCACTTTCTGTTGTTTGGATTTTTTACTGATGTTAGCAGAGTTGACTGTTTTAACTAAAAGGTTACTGCCACCTTAGTATAATGCCATGAAAACCACAGAATTCAAAAGCTAACAATGGAAAAAGTTGCTGAGCACATATCCAGTCTTTTTTTTCCCCTCCAGAAGGACAGCTGAATTACTTCAATTTGTTTCAATTTTAAAAACGTTAATGGTCAAAAACTATATTCAACTGAAGGAGCATAGCCTTATTCTCAATATCATTATTATATATTATATATATTATTATATTATATATATAATATATATATTATTATATTATATATATTATATATTATATATATATTATATATCTTATTCTTCAATATCATTCATTTCTAATGAAAAAAAAAAAAACACATTACAGAAATCGACTATATAAAACATCATCAGCATGAGATGTGATAATATATTTTCCCTCCTTTCATGTTACTTCTCTCCTTTTATTCCTCTACTTTAATTTCAGATTTTCCTTGTCCTCCAATGACTGATTTTCCTTCCTTGAGGTTTTATTGCTTTTAATCAAAAAGCAAAGAAACAAAACCTGTTATACAAATACCAGATCAGATTAAGAATGTTTACAGAAACGTTATCCTCACTGTAACATGCTGACAAAACTACTGAATAGACTACACAACTACAAAAACCTCAACTATACTGCTGTAAAGACTACATTGCTGTGATTCTTCCCTAGTTTTATGACAACCAGCACTTCTGAAAATACATTTATTAAGTGTTATTTATTGTTCGCTTATCTACAGAAGCCTTATACTTTTATAAATCATCTCAGCTTTTATAATGCATAATCAAAGGCTTTTCTTCAATATTAGTAAACGTGAAACTCTCGTTACAGACTAACCAGCAAAAATGTACTGATGTCAGCAACTGGCATAATTAGCTTCAGCAGAATCATAAGCAGATATGATTAAACTTTAAAAGGTTTAAGTAATTTTATCACTCTGAAATGCATGTTGATAAAAGCTCTAAGCTTTGAAGATGCAAAGCTAAGATTAATAGACCAATTTCTGACATATCATTATTAATTTTTTAATACGATGGTGTCCACGGGCCCTTGTTGGAATCACAGAGTCATCACATCAGACATTGTACAGAGTCTTCTCTAAAAATGTTAAAAATTGGAGTTGAGACCTTCACATTCCTGTCTAGTCCAATATTCCTTATACTAAAAAACAGCAATAGCAGCAAGCAGACAGAAGAAGTCCAGAAACTACGATGACTGTGGGAATTAACTAAATGAGTAGCACTATGGCTTGAAAAGAAAGCTTTTGGTTTGTTTGGTTTTGGATTTTTTGGTGTTTGGTTTTTTTTGTTTTTGTTTTTTTTTTTTTTGGTGTTTTTTGTGTGTGTATCTTTTTTTAAACTTCTTTTTCTTTTAGTCATAAAAAGAAACTTTGGCAAGCTCTGCTGACTATCCTATAACCAATACAACTAGATAATCTCCGAACAGCATCATCAGTAGGAATGGGTGTTGACAAAGCATCTTGCTCCAGAAGGAGAAAAGGCTAAGGCCTCACAGAGGCTGACTGCAAGGGAGGTGCCTGGGGCAGGACAGAAGCATGCTAATCATGCACTGGGCCTTGATGCTTCCTTCTCCTTTTTTGTGAGACTCTGTGTGCAATTCTTTTTTCCGCACTGCAGCACATATCCAACATCTTTTCTTGCAGTTCACACTGCCTTGAATTAGTGAAAAACTGGATCTGGGACAGTCTGCAAAATTGATCTCATCAGATTCTGCTAAAAGTGTTTAACTACAACCACTGTAATCCCATCTGGATTCTGCTATCTGGACTAACACCAGTAAGTACTGATAGAGCAACACTAAGCACTAAGTTCCCCAAGTCTGCACCAAACATAACAGTCATTATCTGGAAATGAACACAACCACATAGATGTCTTGGAAACATTCAGTGTCAGGCTGGACAGGGCTCTGAGCACCCTGATTTATCTGTAGGGTGTCCCTGTTCATGGCTGGGGAGTTGGACTAGATAACCTTTAAGGGTCCCTTCAAACTCAAACAATTCCATCAGAATAATTTCAATAGTTGTTCCACTTTTCCTTTCAAGAAGTAAAGAGATGCCAAAGAAATAGGTATTAAAACAGACCACAGTTTAAAATAATGAAACCCAAGTGCACTTGTTGTTCACTTCAGTGTCTCTGACCTGACCATCTGGGAAAAGGGAACACAGTACTTTACAGCAGTAGGTATTACAGTAGTCCTAACATGCTGAATTACTGAACTGTCTGAAATGTTTATGGTTAATTAACTGTAAGTTACACTGACAAGTTTCAACATCAGTCATACATACACATACAGAGATGTATTTTATAAGGCTACAAAACTGTCTGAGTTTTACTAGCAATAAAAAAATGTCAGCTTTTATCATGCAGGCTACTATTAAAACCATGTGAAAGAGCCAATTTGTCAAAGAAAGGAAAAAAGTATATACAGGTCTCGTTATCATGACCAGCCTCAGAAGACTGTTACACTGACATAGTAGTGCTACAATAAAACAGTAAGAAAATGAATATATCGAACCAGTACATAACATCTGATGGCCAGCTGAACAACAAGAAAGGGAGAGAAAAAGACAGAAGGAATACTGTACCTTTTAGCACTGGTTGACAGTTTAGCAGCTGTTTTGCTTGATATTTTGCCCTCTTTTTTCTTGGGTTGAACTTGTTCCCTTTCTTGTTCGGGCTGAACACCTTCGCGCTGATCTCCATCAGAGCTGCCTCCACTAGTGCTCGGACTGTCATCAACTCTCTGCCCCTCTGCAGACATGGCAGGTGCTGCACTGAACCAAACACAGATCACAAAAGTCAGCTTTTCCAGAAGATGCTGTCCAACAGTGTTTCTTGCAGGAGGAAATAACACACAAGATCCATGTCTCCATACTAAAACACTTGCATTACAGCACTTTGATCATCTTACTACTGAATAGTTTTGCCATAAACATCTTAACAATAATTCAGGAATTGGTCGTTTCAAATTCCATAACAAATATATATGAAGAGAAGATAGGTTTATTATTTATGGTAATCACAAGTTATTGTAGTTAAGCACAAAACATGATTGTGTGAGTACTACACCATTGCCATAAAAGAGATTTTCCCACCCCTTGGTCATACTATAAGTTAACTTTCTCATCACTGTGCCACCAGCTCACATCTCACACCGTTTGTTAAAAACCCAGAGCTACTGGTATCTGGAGACTCTGCTATCCCATATGAAATAAATCTATGGGTTCATTCCAAGTCTATAACATTGGTTTCCACATTACAAAATCCACATCTTGGCACGCTGGATGGAAACGCAGAAGCAAAAGGCACTAACAGAACTGTTTGTGTTTACTAAACACTACGCTTCTGGGAGGGGACACACAAAAGTATTCTCTGCCATGAGGCAACAAAGCTGTCAGGGATCACGAGCTAAAAGGAATCCCAGCCTGCTTCCAGAAGTCGAGCTCACAATTTACACACACACTTCAGATACCGGTTAGCTATTCTCACTATTTCCTTCCTTTCAAATAGTATAACACTATGGCAGATGAGGAGCTACAGCTGTTAATGCTTCTCAAAGCGTTCTAATGAAGGGCAGACATCCATGAAAAACTTTCTGTAAATTAGCCTATGTGGTAGTGATGGCTGCTAGAAAATTGCAAAAAACAACCCCCAAACCAACAAACAAAACCCCCCAGTATCACTAAGGCAAAATCTGGAGCTGACAGGGGCACGTTATCTGTCTTCCTCTAGAGCATAGGAGCCACCTTCAAGGTACACAGGCCTCAACATCCCTCACTCACACCCACACAACCCCACACATCAGGGAGGTTTTCTGATTGAATCTGACCAAATCCAGAGTCTGCTCCAGAGTTTTACATTGCTGTGAACTTCCACTTGCTTTTCCTTTTACTTAGGTACGGCCACCATCACAATTAAGAGCCAAACTATTCACCTTGGCAATCATACATTTATAACCTCCAGGGAGAAGATTAAGGGTAGTGGGTTTTTTTTTTTTTTTTTTTTTGGTCTAATTTATGAAGCTAAACAGAAAGGAGAACGTGCAAGCCTGAGACGTTCAAGATAATTAGATGCTGCAAGAAATAGCAAGCAATGGATATGGGATGAATTTTCCCTCATCCAGTTTACGCTACATTTGGACTCAATTTTTGAAAATGGTATTTTTGAAACACATTTTCTTGCATAAATTTATATAAAACAAATTCACACTTCACTGCATAAAACAACTGAAATAACAGCAGCTTTGACTCCTAAAATTAAAGTAAGAAATTGTTCATCCTTAGCAGAACAACCTTCCCTACTGTACAGCTACAAGATGATACTGAGCACAGTTCACATATTTACATGAGTTAATGCCTCTGTATTTATGTCCTGCTTGTCAGATGGAATGATAAAACAAATTGAAGATTTAGAGGTAATGGAGCACAGAAGTACCATATTCTGACAAGTCAAAATATGCATTTAATAACAGTGCAATTTTGGTTGTAGGTACCTGTTTTCTTTGCTTCTACATACAGTGAAAATACCACCTGATCTCTTCCAATAGCACTTTTGATAGCCTTTATTTACTTTAGATTTTAGTTCTGAACTTTGCTTAACACATCTTATTTTCAAGAGAAAATTCCCTTCCTGATGTACATACACACGCTTTAACACTGCAGGCCAGAAAGTTAAAAACATATTTAACGAAGCCTGCATGCATGGGACATCTGCTGCAAATAATCTTGGCTATAAATATTACTATTATCCCAAACCAACTGCATTGCTGGGTTAAGTTCAGGTTACTATCCAGCAGACAAACACTGTAACAGTAGCCCTGAGCATATAATTACTGTAACATGTAATGCCAGCATTTACAGCAGGAAAATGCTTGAATCTGTCATTTGACGTCTGGCTGCCTTCTGATTTCCCCCCTTTTCTCTGTGACACCCCCGGGCGCTCTCCCCATGCTCTCTCCTCCCAATGGCCGCTATTTTAGAAATGTGGCACAGCTGAAGGGATGCTCCGTGCCGCGCTCCGAGTGCCTTCCAAAGGGCCCCAAGTCACACGCTCGCAACTCAAACTCAGGAGGCAGATAAACAGATGAACAAATAAGAGAATGGAAAAAAACACCGAGAGGCGGATGACACCGCTGGGAAGGCATCTCGGTGCTACGAACGGGAAGGCAAGCACTGGGCGCTGCTCGGTGCCGAGAGCAGCAGCGTACCCGCGGGGCGAGCGGGGTGTGGGGATGTCCGGCTCGGGGGTCCCGACCTCCCGCCCCGCGCCCCGAAAAGGAACGGGAGGGCAGAGACCGGGAGCCCGCCTGCTTCCCCCGGGATGATTCAGCAGGGCTGGGATTAGGAGTGGAGATTGTAAACGGAGGAGCTCCGGAGGAGCAGCCTCGGTCACAGTCAGCCCCGGGCACTTCTCTCCCTCCCCGCCTTCTCAGAAGGGAAAACAAACACGTAGGCAAGGAGTGCCCCCCGTAAACCCTGCGGCCGAGGCAAGGGATCCAGGCGGGTCTCGGGGGGACGACGGGAGGGGGAAGGCGGGGGGAGAGGGGGATAGAGAGTGGGGATGCCTCCGTCTGCGGTCCTGATTTCCCGCGAGTAAAGACGGGTTGAGAGCGTCATCCTCACCTTCATCACCCGAAGCCCCGGGGCCGGCCACGGGAGGGGGCACACGAGGGGACGCCCCGGCCCGACCCGCAACCGGGACACGGAGGACTGCGGGAGGGCGGCGTCGGGGCACGGCAGGGGGCACCGAGGGGACGAAATGGGGGGGTGCTGACGGTGGGGGGCGGGGTAGGATGGGGTGGGAGGGGGGACGAGGAGTGCGAAAGGAGAGCGGAGAGTTGCTAGAGGGCACCGGGGGAGGATGGGGCCGGGGGCGGGGCGGGGGAGGGGTGCTGGGGATGGAGGCAGGGGCCGGAGGTTGCGGGGGGTCGGTCACGGGGGTGGGGGGGCCGCTACCTGCGAGCGGAGCTCTCCGGCTGGCGCGGGGCGCGGGCGGCGGGACGATCCGTAACGGCGGCCCCGGCTGCGGCCGGGCGAGGGGCTGGCGGGGGGCAGCGGCCGCTCACTGAGTCATGAGCCCGCCCCACGCTGCCTGCCGCCCGCCCGCTGCGCTCCCTTTCTTCTTTCTGCCCTTTTTCCCCTCTCCGAGCCGAACGGCGGCCGCTGCCCGCACAACCTCGACCGCCGCCGCTCCTGCCCCCGCCGCCCGAACAGAAGTGAAGCTGCTGTCGCCGCGCGCGCGCGCGCGTCCCTGACGCCGACGCCTCCGCGCGCGCTCGCGCCAGGCCCCCTCCCCGAGCACCGCGCGCGCGCCCGGCAGCCAATTAGCCCGGCCGCCGAGGGAGGGGCGGGGGGGACGGGTGCGCGTGCGCGCGCTTTCGGAGAGGGTGTGGGGAAAGGGGGCAGAGCTGGCGGCGGGAGCGCGCGTTAAAGGGAAGCCCGGGGCGGGGCGGTTGGAGCGAGGAGGAAGGACGAGGCGGCGGGGTGCGGGGTGGGGAACCGAGGGATCCGCGGGGGGCTCTGTGGCCGACGGAGGCAGCGCGGAGCGGGGGCGACCGCGCGGCTCGAACTTTCTTTGCTCCTCTTTTCCTTTGTTCCCCCGGCTCCTGCCCGCCCGCCCCCCCTCGGTGCACGTCCGCGCGGGCAGCAGAGGACGTGCGGAGCCCGGCGGTGTGCTTTGGGGTGGCACTGCTCCGAGTGGGGCGAAACCCTATGGGCGCTCTGCGCCGCCGCCCCGTCCCTTACATCACAGCCGGGGGCAGCTCGCCTCTGTTATATAAACTTGCATGGGCTCACCGCCACCGGTAGCCAAATACGCGGCTTTGGGTACGGAGGTAAATGACAGCCCCGAGTATTTCCCTCTTCTTAAGGGAATTTGAAACCGTGCTTCTGTTGTTCTACATTTAGAAGGAAAAGTTTCTCTCTGCCTCAGCCGTGGGGTTTTGTGTTTTTTCTGACTCATGGCAAGGGCGGAGGTGCAGCCCGTGCTGCCTAGTAGGCAGAGATGGGGAAGGGAGCACCGCAAGGACGCGGGGGGGTCGGCAGTGTGAGCAGCGCCCGCGTCCCATCGCCGGCAGCTTTCTCTGCACATAAAGTCCATCTTGCTCCTGGCTGATGAGTTGTTGTGAGGTAACTTGCTTTATTTTCTCTTCCTGTCTCTTTCTGAAATAATCCAGCAACATTTTCACCTGTACTTAAAAGCACAGCAGTCAGCCAAGTCTTCTTATTTCATGTGCAGTTACAATCTATTTTTCTGCTGCTAATGAGCTTCCAGCGTCAGCTAGGTGGGTTCCTATCTGCTGGCATGTGTTGACTTCTCGCAATTACTAATAACTCAGTAATTAACAGAACACAATGCATTGAAATTGCTTAAAGAATGCAGATCTTGTGCAATCAGTGCTTCTTGTCATGCTGGAAGGTTGCTGGCCACACTGCACACTCCTGGCATCACTTTATATCCTTTTCTAAACTGATTTGCATCATGCCTTTTTCTTCCAGGCATTCCAAAACTAGACTCCTAGAAGCACAGGGGAGAAGGACAGTGAATAGCCTAATTCAGACAGGGGTGGGATGGGGACAGTGTCCCAGAATTTGGGTCATAAACTCCCAGTGCCAAAAAAATCAAGGGAGCGCTGAAGTGTTCCAGCACCAAATGAAGGGTTTGAGTCACTGAGAGCTGGGCCCAGATTTTACTTTCGGTGAGTAACCACTGGCCCAAAGCTGGATCCTAGGTGAATTTAGGGACAAATGACTGAGGATGATGGCTTGTGCTGCTTCCTGACCAGGACTTTGTGATTGTAGAGGTGGAGGATTTTTAAGGAGACACTTAGAATCACAGAATCATTAAGGTTGAAAAAGCCAAGACCCATTCCCACCGTGCTCACTGAACTGTGTCCCTAATTGCCACATCTACCCTCTTCCTGAACATGTCCAGGGACTGTGACTCCACCACCTCCCTGGGTAGCCTGTTCCAATGCCTCACCACTCTTTCTGAGAATTTTTTCCTTATATCAAACCTGAACTGCCTCTGGTGCAACTTGAGGCCATTACCTCTCATCCTATCACTGTTATCTGGGAGAAAGGCTGCCTCCCACCTCACCACAACCTCCTTTCAAGTGTGGAGAGCGATATAGTCTCCCCTGAGCCTCCTCTTCTCCAGACTAAACAATCCCAGTTCCTTCTGCCACTCCTCATAAGACCCTTCATCACTTCATTGCCATTCTCTGGACGTCTTTCCTGTAGTGACAGACCCAAAATTGAACGCAATACTCAAATCTCACCTGTGCAGTGTGAAGTGAAGAAGGCAGTATAGTCAACTGCTCCCAGATTCATCCTTTTGACCTTCCAAAGTAATATATTTGGCCTTCAGATGTTAAATGTTACACCATTTTGTAGTATTCAAAATCCTCTGGAAGACTTTTTAAGTACGGTTTGCATAGGGTGAAATCCTGACCCTTTTGAAGTCAACTCCAGCGTTGTTCTTCACCCGGAGCTGGAGTGTTACACTGTATTTTCCCTGCTTGGCTTTGAGTGGCTTCTAAAAGCTGGCGCTATTTACGGCTCTGGGTACATCCGAAGGAATCTTAACTCCTACAGAAGCTTACAACTTACTCAGAGAGACACACCGGGTGCAGCTCTCCTGCACAGGCAGTCGCACCATCAGGCTAAGTTATAGCTAAGGACACTTCTGTTAAGGCCTCTTGATTTAAAGTGTCTGCTATGAGGGCAGAGACATCAATCAAAACCTGTGAAGTTGGAGAAACCTGAGCCAAGTTTCTATTTAAGACTGTTTCTTTTAAGGATCAATTAAAATTATTTTTTTTTAGCTGTACTGAGATCTAGTCTCTGGCAAGTTTCACCCATTTTTTGTTCAGTTAAGAAACATGGAAATTAAATGCTCTGTTATTATTATATGTCAAAACAAGAATTAGAAAAATGCAACTTCGAATTTTATTCTGCGTTTATGAATTATTGGTCATTGGCATTTAAGCAGAAAATCACTACTACTATTTAGGCTGAGAAACATACAGTGTGTTTAAGTTATAACTGACAAAACTTCACGCATACTGGACATACAAATTGAAGAGAGTTTTTTGAGGCAAAGAAAAGACCAGGAAGCATCTCCACTGTGATACAGCTGAAAACTTAACAGCAGCTCTCAGCATCTCACTTTCAAAACTTCAAAGTAAAAAGAGAGGTGGAAAATATTCAATTGCTCATGGAACTCTTTGTTTTTCTGTCAGTCTCTTTCAACCAAACCCTAATGAACCTGATCATTTCATCCACTTGCACTATTATCAGCAGAGGATTGGAGCAATGGGAACGCTGGAAATCTCTGTGGGATCTTCTCCAGTCTGTGTCCATTGCCTCATTCCTTCCCTGCTGCTCAGTGTATCTGGTGAGAGCAGCTCTCAGCAGGGGCCCCTCTCCCAGCATTTCCCCCCATCCTGAGTTGAGGTGGGCATGCAGAATGGCAGGAGTCTCTCCAGTGCCTTTATGCTGTTATCCTCTCCCATAGCTGGCTTTCTTCCTACTACTCTACTACTGTGATGTTTGTGCCTTATGGCACAAAGCCATAAGGATAGTCCAGAGGATCTGGCTTGCTCTTTATTCTTTTTTCCCTCCCTGATAATTATTTCTCCCATTTGCTTATTCTCTCACTGCATCTGATTACTTTTTTTTCCTATGATTCTTCTTCACTTTTGTCATCAATTTGCTAAATCCTACTTTGCATGTTGGCAAATGTAAACTGAAACTCACAGCTATCTCACTCTCTGAAGCCTCAGCTGTGCCTGAAAACACATTGATTCAGACATCAGAATTTTTCCTGTTCATTTTGTTTTCCAGCTATCGGCATGTAGAATGAAGGGAGGAGTAAGGACAGGTTTTTGGAAGGTATCTGCAGCCGAAATTCTATTAGATTTTTCTGTTAATTGTGTATGTCTTTATCCCTGAAAAAATGACACCCCGTGTCAGGGAAAACATGATAGAATCCTGAACATCAGGTAAGCTTATTATTTAAATACTGCCTTGACAGAAATCTGTTTAAAGTATTTTCATGGCATTCTAAAGTAAAGTGATTGTGTGGGTGCAGAGACAAGTTATTACTAGCTTTATTTGCTCTACAATAATGTAAACCCCCAAATCATTAAAATTTATTCACCTTAATCTTTTCAAGCTGTTAGATATGAAAAGAATTTTAAGTTGTTGCAAACAATTTGAGATCTCTTTCACTCTATGCTCATCTAAAAAAAAAAAAAAAAGAAAAAAAGAAAAAAAAAAAGAAAAAAAAAAAAAAAAAAAAACAAAACAAATAAAAGCAGAAGAATTTGCAGCTCCTCCTCCTCCCCTTTGCTCAGCAGCAGAACAGATCCTGCTGTCATTCATCTGGAACCAGAAGAAACAAACCAGACAATAACTTTGGCATCAGAGATCCTCTCAGCTCTCAGGCATGGCACTATCCAGAATTGTAAAGAATAAAGATAAAACAGATTAAGGATGGGTGAAGGGATGTAGTACCTTCCTTCCACGTCCTTCATGAAAGCCTGGCCTTTTCTGTAAGATGGGGAATAAATCGCTGCCTAGTGTACAGAAGAGAGGTTTATGTGGTAGTTTAGAGCCCTACTTGATGTAATTGCACAGGATACATTCTCTGATATTTTCTAGACAGAAGCTGTTAACAAGTGAATCCTAGACTAAGTCACTGCTTTAAAAATCTCATCTTTTATGTACTGAAAGGAAAAATCTTTAATTCTGAAGCTATTGTAATGGAGTGACCTGTAACTGGGAGATTCGTTGCATTGCCTGTGATAATTCACCATATGTGGGAGAAAATGCTGGTAGGTTAGAAAAGTGATGATAGATTAGAAAGTTGGTGTTTTTTGGTGTTTTTTTCCACACCTCTACAGCACCTCCATGTTCCTATTATTTTATTTTGGTTTAGTAACATCTTAATTCACAGTATTAGAACTTGATTTTTCTGATTAAAAAAGGGTAAAATTCTGAGGATCTCTTGTGGTTCTAT